CTAAAATATCACGGGATCCCCTTCTCTTTATCCCCTGGCCCGCGAGAACTCCTTTCCTCGCATTCCTCTCGCCTTCCGCGCGCGTTTATTTAGCTATTATGTGTACCCGACGTTACACGATTAAATATACACGGGACCAAGCGAAAATTTCGTATCCATCCGCGAGCGGAAATGGAGACGTGCTTGTTGAGTAAACAATCTTAGGCGGGTTCGTCTACCCGCCGATATATACCGGGGGCCCGTTGAATATTAATACGTAATTCGCTAAGGATTTCCCGATCAATTTTTCAAGGGACAATGCACGATGATTTCCTTAGGGGTTATTATCCGAAGGAAAACACCGGAGTTAGTATTAACAGACTTCCGGTTGGCGGAGAAGCTAAGAATAGTGGTATTAATATACAATAGGAAAGAGTCGAAAGTTACAGGCGGCTTTCCTGAAAGCATTATCTATCGAGTTAAGGGAAACTTCATTCCGCGGAACAGACAGCGGAGTTAAGCTTGATAAGTCAACAATCGGAGATGATTAAAAATAGAGGAATACCGAGAGAATTCATTTAGGGAGAGTTTATAGGACCGAAAGTTCGGATTGCCGTCCGTACTGTTGGAAATAGAACGCCGCCGAAGAGCGTCGAGCGGTTTCGAACGTGCTGGTTCGTCGCGGATATTATTTTACGCGAGACAACGTTGGCCTCGCGATTGCAACACGTCGCGGGAAAGCGAGAGGCGAGACAGTCAGCGGTAGCAGACAACGGTACAAAGGGCGCGTAGAATCTGTCTGGCAGAAAGAACAGCGTCGCATGTTGCCGCCACTGGTGTCTACGCTTTATTTATCGCCTGTTAAACCAGCGTGACTGCGGCCGACGTAATCGCAGGGTCATTAAAGTCGTTAAACCACCCCAACCTGAGCCGCGCGCTCGGCGATCTTTCGTTTATTCCGCGCGCGTCCGTCGTGTTTCTTTCCTCCCTTTGCACTTTAACGAGTCCCGAAAACCCGTATTTCCCGGCGGAACACGCCGATACTCGGTTCGGTCCCGATGCGGAATCTCGTTTGCACGGCGCGCGGAGAGTAACAGGTTTAAAAATTTTTTTTTCCAGAGAAGGGAACGGCGAACGGCAGCGCGCGCCTGACGCGGTTTCATTAAAACGAAACGGAACGCAACGCGGGGTGCGTTCCTTCTATGAAATATCGAATCGCGTCAGGGGAGGAACGGCCATAGCGAATGGAAGGAAAAGAAAAGATTGTAGGATGTGGTTGTAGAAGCCAAGGGGAGCGCAGCTTCGGCCGGGCGAGCGGACGCGTCCGACGGCTACGAGTCTAATGAACGAATGGGGGTCCCGAGAAAAAGAGTAGAAAGAAATAAAAAAGCTTACCGTCGCTTTTGCGGTCAGTTACTTTTCACCCTTTGCTATTCTTTTTTAGCCGGCGCTGCGCGCCGTGGATCCGCCTTGCCGCGTCGCGGGCGAATCCCGCGCTAACAAGACGAACACGAGTACCTCAACGAGTGGCCAAACAAGTATCTCTCTATTAAGGGCATATAGGAAATTATCCTAAAAAACGACCACGCTACGTTAAACCCCGTCATCCGTATTATTTCCCTGTTCCTGTGTCCCTTCTTGCCTGTGTCCGCTTGTTTCCCTTTTCCTTCTTTTTCCTCCGGCCCGTGTCTCTTTTCCGACGGAAACCGGAGAACTAGTAATTCCGTGCCGGCATTGTATAAACAGGGAACCAGGAGAAAACCACCGGGACGTGTGTCGGGAACCTATCGATCCGCTGAAAACATCTCCTTCGGGGGTACAAAGGAAACCGGGGACCGAATTAACGAAACCGATGTCTGAATTCGAGCGTGACAAGGCCGGCCCGGGGATGGATGTCTGTGTAGAAGGGAATAAAAAGAACTGTAATCCAATTACAGGCGCCGGGTGCCCGTACGGGCATTTGGATACGATATCGAGCGATTAAAAATAATATGTGAGTGCGCGTGATCGGAAGTTTGCTCGCGTGTGAACGAACGTGCTTTCGAGCACGAGTCAAACCGCCCCCGGCTTTGATTCGAGCGTTCCCACTGGCACCCTGTTTTCCTCGCTTTCCGCTTATACGCGGCTCGGCAAACGTCAACCCTTCTTCTCGACGCAACGAATTCCTTTCGTTACGATAAAGGGCGTTTCGACGATCGCGTTGCAAACGGGACGGGGTGGTTTTCGTTTTCACTCCCGCGGAAATATTCATTGAGCAATAAATACGTTCCCGTTGCCTGAGCATTGCACTCCGATTCTACTTATTCCGAACGGTTCTCCTCGATATAATAAATTCCTTTCATTACGACGAAGTGCGGTACGAGGATTCTATTGGGAACACAAGGGGCGGTTTTGATTTTCATTCTTGCGAGAATAACCGATTAAATAGTCAACAACCAATTAATAAGTTTCTATTGTTTGAGCGTTGCATTCTGATTACACTTATTGCGAGCGATTCTTTTCGCTACAATGGATTCCCTTCGTTAAGATAAAGAGTGTTTCAATGATCGCGCATTGCGAACGGAACCAGGGTAGTTTTCGTTCGCGTTTTCGTCGGTTATTCGACTAAATATTCATTGAGCACACCAACGGTTAATAAGTCTCTGTTGCCCGTACGCTGCACTCTGATTCTGCTTATTACGAATGAACGCCTGGATAAATACTCGCAGTTGATCTTGTTGAGAGCAAAGCTACCGGGGACAAATTTCATTACACATGTCCAATGCATTTTTTCATTAAATATCACCCCCCGTCCCGACCGAGCCGTGATTGCGCCCGATACACTGCATATTCATACGGTACAAACTAAAAAATCGATTCGCGGAAAATGTGATTAGCCGATGGAAGAATGGACCCACTGTTCGGTTTCTGGTCACCGGTTCGATTGTTTTTCAATCTATCGCATCCCCGAAACCGTGCGGCTTCCGGCCGCGCAATCTACTTGCAAATATTTGCGCAGACGGTCAATTTCATCTATACGCATCGCGTTCGTAATGAAAACAGCTTCATCAAAGGTAAGTACTCGCAGAGTAGTCTAGCAATCGAGTCGGAGAAGTTTCCGCAAAGTGTATTGCCTACTGCAATTCGCGTTATTGCTGTACCGTTCTTCGATTATGGCTTTTGCCGTCCAGTTCTCTGCACTGCCGTTGAACAGTAAATTTCTCGTCAGTTGATACGTTCAATAATCAACGTACTGCTCTAGGTGCAACGGATGGTATTTCGCGCAGGAAATTCGGGATTTCCCGTGATCCGTACATGGTTCAAAAGGTCGCGATGAGAATTCGCTGCTGGTACAGAAGGGAACCGACCCTTATCTACGGAAGGGAACGCAACGATCGATAACACGGCTTCCGCATCGTCGGCAAGGTATTTCGGGTAGGTCGGTAACGGACTTACCTTGCTTCTCTAACGTTTCAAACGGTGGTAAAACAGAAGGGATGAAAAGCGTCGATAAAGATTCAACTAGCCCTCGTCAACCCTCAGTAATATCACTGATTTACTGCATTAATTCGTCTGAATCGTTGATCAAGTGCTTTATTATTAAAGGCTCCGTTAAAGTAAAATTCAATCAAATATAAGTCGACGAATAAAATCGTCGCTTCTTTAATGATCGAGTTCGTCCGACCGCAGACGGAAAGGTAGATTTAATTATATATTTTTAGACATTATTAAATCGCACTGCTCGAGAATAAAGGGCACAGGGATGTTGCTAATATCGAGTCTCACTACTGGCTCTTAATAGTAACGTGTACAGAGTATCGAGTTAACAAAAATCACGTGTCAGAAGGGAAACGAAAAGTTAAGGAAAAAAAAATTGAGACTACTGTTTCACAACAAGACGGGATATGACTTGTATCTTCGGAATTTATGGGAAAGGATTTTTGGAATTCTAATGCGTCATAGGAAATGGCCATTTGAACCATTAGATTTACAATCCCGATTATCAGATTCAAAGCGGCACATGTATGAATAAATTACCATTATTTACGAAACTGTTAATCGTATGAGCCTGTTGCGTTATGCATGGATTAGGTATGAACGAAAAACTAAGCTGTCGCGCTACGGGTGTCGCGAAGGAAAACTCATGGGGATAAAATACGGAAATCATAAGGCGAAGTTCGCGGACAGTACGTCGCGCGTCGATAAAACGATATTAATCGAATGTAAGTGTAGAAGGATATGATATACATAACAGAAATTACGTAACGATGGTAACTCTATTATAGAAAGTAAAATTACCAGTGAAAAATCGTAAGAGTATTCGGTAACGCCGCGCTCGCGGTACAATGAAACAATAGAAACATTACGGTTTCATCATTATCAAACTATTGTACGAAATATCGTTCAACATCGCGGAATAGGAACATACACGGTTTATATCGAAAATACATTATAGAATGAACAGAGCGCATCGTGTGAAACATTCGCCGATAATTATAATAACGCGAGCGTTTATGAACATTCAAATAATTCCGGGCCGGTCAGCGCGCAGTTTGAAAAACGCCGGGCAAAAAGCCCCCATTATTAGAAGTTTAATCGTATCACGAACAAATTAAAAGTTCCGGTAATAAACCACGGGCACGTATAAAATTATAATAATGCAATTTACAGAAACTAGATTCAATCTGAAATTTGTTTGCCCGCGTTAACGTTCCAGTCAAGTTTCGAACAAAATAAAAACTTCATTAAACTTTATTTACGTGTTTACCGCGGTGAATTCGAAATTGTTGCGCGTTAGCATAAACGGGTGAAATCCGTGGTCTATTCATTAAATGTCACGCGAAGTTTTCGTCGGCATTCTATTCTAAATATTCTGTAACACCGCGTATATATATGTGCGTGCGCGCGCGCGGAATGCTTACTTCGTGTGTCACGTGCGCTGAAAAATGATCGTGTGAATACGTCATTCGCAGGAGCGGCGGTGTTACCGAACACATAAAGTGAAAAGGGATGAATAAAAATGTAACTGAAAATAAACATACGTTTGTCTGCGAATTCTGTCTGAATGTTTTCGAGCATTCCCCCTTGGGACGGCTGCGTTGGTACGCACCTGTGTTTCTCTCTTTCTCTCTCTATCTCTCTCTTTCTTTTTCTCTTTCTCTTTTTCTCTCTCTCTCTCTCAATGACGATCCTTTTTACGCTCGTTCTGCAAGCAAACATACGAAACAAGATTAGACACTTTGAAGAAAAGTACAATGTGGTTTATTTTTCTCGTCATTTGTATCTAACAAGTATAATCGTCAATGTTCGTTGTTTCAAAGATACTCATGCAGTGATAAATACACATAACTATAATCATAATGTTATAAACATTGTAATCATAAACAGTCATAAATTTACGAAGAACAAAGTGAAAGTTATCGAGAATTTACAATACAAATACCCTCCTCTCGCGGGTAATAAACAATATTAATAAACATTCCCCCCGAGATTAAGGATACGATAAATAACAACAAAGCAACGCGTACAATATACTCTGCATTTCTCTAAAACTCGTATACACCGTAGTGTCCATTAATTATTATCGAAACAATCCAACGAAACGCGTTACGAATGCAAAGTGAATTTAAATGGCGGAATAATTATGCCTGACGTGCATACAATCTCTGATCTACGCACTTACGGCTGTCGCACGCTCCGAAGACACAATAAAGAATGACATGTTTACAATATAACACCGGAAGTCCTTGTTTACCACCCACTCGACTCCGAAAAAGGGGCGAGATGAATTTCCAAGTGCCCGATGACCTCTCGCCTCGTCTTCGAGACGGGTTCGAGAAGCACGCGGCACAAGCGGGACGATTTTGAATTCGCGAAAAATCGATACTTTTCGAGATATCCGCGGAAACGGGGGGAAAACATTGGTCTCGTGACAGGCGAGGTGGTCGAGTGGCACGCGTCGAAAAGCGGAGTATCGTGTGAAGGAGATCCACGGAAAAATGAAGGAACGACCGGTGGGAATCGCACAGGCTACGGCGGACGACGAAGGGACCAGAATGGCAGAGCCGTTGAAGAAAAGCGTGCACAGGTAGGAGAGGTTAGATGTACTGACGCGGTCGAGTAACACGCGACGCATGCTTCCCTTCGAATGTTTCCCCGTGTCCCGCACACGGTACTCTACGCGTTCCGACGAAACTCACGGTTCACGACGTCCGTTGCACAGCCGGCGATGCGCGATTAATTCAGCACGCCGTGTAAACAAATTGATTGGCCCCTTGTTTGGAGGGCGACGGTGGAAAGGCAGAACAAACGATTACGCACGACACGAGCAAAACACTTACCACGATTTTCGCGTTCACGGTGTCGCGTTCGGGACGTCAATAAACGCTCGGCGACGTGACATCGTTAACCATGGTGCACTGTGCTCGTACGATACGCACTGATCTTAGAAAAAAGACTCGTGTAAAGTGTATAAAAAAGGCAACAATTAAGAAACTGACAAGAAACTCGCCATAGCGGTGTTAACACTGGGCGGCCATGTTGCCTTCGCTCGAACCTTCGCGACATCTCTCGGCGTGCCTCGTAAACGCTCGATTACCCGCGAGAAGTAAACTGAATTTCGAGGTATCGTGGCGCGAGATTCGGACGGTGCGACGAGACGATGGGAGATGGCGCTGGTAGGCTTTAAATTGAAAGGGTTAAGTGGATATTTAAAAAATAAGATGTATATATGTGTGAAAGGGAAGTAGCGATGATGGGTAGTTGATTGTTGGGAAGTTTAATGTTTTGAGATTGTGTGTTTAATTGATTGTATATTTGAAAGTAATAGATGAATATTGTATAATGCAAGGGAATCAAGTAGGTAATAAAGCATGGAGGGAAAGAGATCGATAATACTGGAATGAAATTTGTCAATTGAAATTCAATTGTACAAGACAAGTGCGTGTCTGTTTGGCTGATAACGTCGCTACATGTCCGGAATTTGGATTCGCCGATATTAAAAAAAAGGAGAGAACATTTAAAAATCCATCATTGTTTCATCGGGAAAGTGTCGACAGCAGTTTCTGTACAATTTTTTTGAAATTCCTTTGCCAATTATCTCATGCATATAAAGTGCAATCAAACGCCACGACAAGTTGCGCACGGCCGACGTCAGTTTTATCGAACAAATGCGACTTTCCCATTTTATTTCCCGCATATTTGTGGACAATGAATTCATCTTACAAACAAAGAGCAATAATGAATTTCATTTATTCGTCGAATGTACGCGATTTAAATTTCACTCACATTACATTTCAAATGTAACGGGCGTCGAGACCCATGCGTTGAAACGCCACAGAACGAAATCAATTTCGTTTATAATTGCATACATATTTTTTTTCCCTCTACCGGGTGCATATTGCACGCACTAGAAAATGACTCTGCGTTCAACGGCCGGTAGTTTTCTGTAATTTCCGAGCCGGCCTGGCGTGCGCCGCTTAAAGGACGGCCATTTTGTCGGGCCTCGGCGTTCGAGGAGGCCCGATGCTAACTTCGAACGAGGCTCGTGCATCAAACTAATTGTAAGTTCCTGACGCACTACGTATGTCAGATGTCGCGTGCAACAAATTGTGAGCATCGCCGGGATACGTGTTCTTCGAGTCGAGAATTTTGCGTTCGTTATGCGGCGACCATCGCGTTAAGAGTCGTTACGTGAGTTTGGTTATCCCGCCGCCATACGAAAGCAGCTAACTTCCTTAACGAACTCTCAAACGAAGTTTGGTGACTTCCGGGCTTCTGTTTCAGTCTCGCATAGCACGGTTAATTACTGTCAACAGTTTCGGCCCGGTAGCCCCCGATACTACCTGTTTCTCTCGCTGTACTTTCCGTTCCTTCGGAAACGCTCGCTGCCGCGCGCGCGCGCGCACCGGCATTTCTATGAATATTATAATGAGATGCATCCCCGGATGCAGCGCGTCCCACGGAAAACCCTTCCCGAAATCAAACGGAGCCTCGCGTATATTCGTATCAAGGTTTCTTTGAAATTAAAATACGGACCGAATGAATGAAAAATAACTCCGGTTGCAGCAGGAGCGCGCGAGTTTGGCTAATAATTCATACGAAGAGCCCGGTCAGAAACTGCGAGAAACTGCGCTCGCGGATGTGTTTTCATTTCTGCTTGTAGACGACGACGACGATGCCGGCGACGACGGCAACGGTACAACGGAAGGGCGGCGCGAGGGTAGCCGACGGGGGTGGAGTTTGAAACTCGCATAAACGCGAGTGTAACGTGGAGCGGTCTCTTTCCATGTTTCTGATTACTTGGCGAACTTTTGCGCCAGCGTGGGCCGATACGGCGGAAGCTTTCAGACGTTTTGTTTTTTTCGACGCCCCCGACAGGCCCTCTCGCTTCTGCTGGACGCATAGAATTCCCATTTTTCGTGGCCGGCGGACCGCGCGATCCGCATCGGCGAAATTCGAAAAAGCGCGGCCCCGAAAACTAGTACGAACGGAATTTGTTGCGGTCTGTAACGGGCTACGCGCACGTAGAAAACGTTTTGTTGTGCGAGCATGTCGGGCTCGCGTGCATTCGGCATGCAGGTCGATATGATTGCGTACATAACGTTGCATGTCTCATCCAATACGTACACGTGCACATGTACACACATCAGCCCATATACATTATTCGACGTACGTACGTACGTTATGCAGATACAACAAAACAATGCGGCAAGTGGTTTTTTTTCGGGGTCTATCTCATGAGGTATTGATGATTTTCGAGATTGTTCCGCGCAATACCGATATCGCGGTATCACGCGAATATTGGAATATCTACATAATGTAACATCATACGGAATCCCCGCCGCTAAACGGCGTTGCAATGAATTATTTAAACAACGATACGAAGCCCGAACGTAACTCGCGAACGTAAACGCCGCGGTTATAAACCGTTGTTTCCGCTTCACTTTTCATTAGCAGTTGCATCTTCCGAGCCGTGACCGGCAATGCACGCGGCCACCCTCGCCTCGACTTCCATTTTATAATAGAATTCCTGCACGGCGCGTTGCTCCGGAAACGGATTGTAGCCACGCACGGATTCCGATCGCGCTTCCCTTAAAATGATAAGAATTTATAAAGGACCGTGGGCGCGGCCGCGAAGATGGAAACGAATGAAAACGAGGTCCCCGTTTTATTCCACGGAGACCCGAGGGGGAAAAGTGTGCACATAAATTTCGTAGACCATCGGCTATCGACCTTAACGGTTCGGTGACCGATTATTCGGGGCTGTTCGAGAGGCCTGGCCCGGCCCGGCCCGCCTTACCTTCCCCGATCGCCACGAGTTTCGTTCAAACGAACGAAACTAACTGATTTCCCACGGGATAAATCTTTGGGTAAGCCATGGAACCTTCCTGGAAATTCGACGTAAATCGATCGCAAAAGCCCAGATGCGATTACGAACGAGTTCCCGTCGATTCTTAATCTCGAACGGTTCTTTAGACTCCTTCCGGGCAGTTTGTTTGGCTCGTTTCCCTCTCCGCCGCTTGCTTTTCTCTCTCGGCGAGCATCCTCCGCTCAACGTTTTTCTTTCTTTCCCGCCGCCGAGGCAATCGATGCACGCGACAAGACGTACGGGATCTAGACGGGACGTATCCTGTCTCGTTATTAGGGACGGGTTGAAGTATATTGTAAGTAACGCAAGATTAGGACCCTTCGGTCTGTTTAACAGGAGTTACGAGAGTAGAATAAATAAGGAAGTTGCGTGGTGACGGTCGCTGAAGTATGATCTACGAATCTCGAGAGCGTAGGTTCGATTCCCCATGACATAAGTTTTTCAACTTTTTCTATCGAATTTTGTCATATATCCAAATTTCAGTTGGATAGTTTCTTTGGTATTTCTTCGAATGGTACTTTCCAAAATTAAATTTGAAGAATTTTCAAATGTATTCGAACTTTCTCGGATATTCTACTAGGAAGAAATTAATTCGAATGAAATTTGAATTCTTTCGAAATGAATGCACCGTGGATAATTGAAACTTAGTAGGTATTCGATGTAGAGTTCAAATTACAAATATGAATAGTAACAAGTAACATTCGAATCCAGAGAATAATTCAAACATCCAAACTAATTCGAATTAGCGAGTATAAAAATAGAACTTGATTGATTTCCTCCTGATTGAAACTCAAGTCAGCCCCATTTATCATAACATTTATCATTTACATACGAATAAAATTGCCCTGGATCAGACGTTCCATTTGCAACCGTTAGAAAAGAGATCTTTCGATCTATTAAAGCGGATTATTGGTAGGAAACGATCGTTTGCTTTCCCGCAACGCCGTCGAAAAGGGGCCACGTTTTCTTTCCACCTTACAAAACCCTCGCGATCCCGAGCTCTCTCGGAGCTTGAAACGTACAAACGGGAAACGATCCGCCGATGGAAGAGGATTCGTTATTCCAAGTGAATCGATTGTCCGCAGTGTTCGCGGGGCAAAGGAAATTCAACACGAAAATTCAATTAGTACAACCGGCGGCGAAGTTCTGCAGACAATGTGTTTCAATTGCCAGCGATATTCGAGAAACGTTACCGGTATAATCGCGCGAGTATTACGCAACGTTCGCGAGAGTTCGCCCTATGTTCGTGGGTTGCGTACACCCAGACGGGGGCCCAGTGCGGCGAGATTCTCAACGAGTTGAAGAACGGTGCCAAATTTCCGAACACATGCTCGCCCACGCCAGTTAGAAGGTGTTTAGACGCCGAGGAATAGAGGCTTTAACGCTCGCAACTTCGACGATAGACGCTCCTTCGGCGAAGTTGTTCCAGACTACCGGGGTTATTACAAATAAGAAAACACGGTTCACGTCGGAACTGCGATCAAAATTTCCGGTCTAAGCCCCGACGATTCCCCGTGAACGACAGCGCAGGAACCGAGCCTCGGTCTCTCTCGATTAATCGAACTTTCGTGTGCAGACTTCCCCGGCGCGACTCCGCGACCGGACGTTTCTCCTTTTTAATTTTTATAGAGGGATCGCGGAGAGATGGGCACGGAGGATCCGGCAAACGGAAAGAGAGCGCGTGCATTCGTAGCCTCTTTGAGAATTCATGGCGGCGCCTCGTATCGGTAAAGTATCCAGATCGCTGGATCCGCAACGGCGAACTCCCAAGAATTCTTTACATC